CTAAGCAGAAGGTCACTAGTTTGAATCCATCTGCCACCCTATCAAAGGAAGATGAATAATGTGTTTCCACAGAGGGTCACCATGAGTCACAATCAACCGGAAGAAGGTAGGTTTTTGTTTTTTTGTTTCTGCAAAATAAAGGCCAAGCCGTGTTCTAGACACTGGTGGAAAAACGGAATAAATTAGGTGGGAAAACCCCCCAACCCTCTTCCTAAAGAGTTTATATCCAATAGAATAATGAAAATGCCTGTTATTTAAATACCTTTTTTTGTTTATTGTACACATCTTATTCAAGATCTGGAGTAAATCTCTGTGATATTTGCTATCTTTAAATTTAATTTACAAATGGAAAAATAAGCTTTCAAGAGATAAATGACTTGTTCAGTATCATAAAAATGGTATGGTCTGAGGCAATCTTTGTAGTCTCAGAAGTTTAAACTGAGCCTGCCATCTTGCGTGCTGTGCCACACACGGGCAAAGTTTCAATCTGTAATTCAGAGGGTCGCTAAGAGTCTTAGTTTACCTGATGACGGCACCCAACAACAACGTCTGGCACCAGCTCAACACATGTTTGTTAAGTGGATGGATGACTTTCCCCAGTTATTTCCTGAGCTCCTGATTGCTTCTAGATTCTTGACTAATTGCCTGATTCCTCATTTGGAATGGCAGGTACATAATTTAGGTAAAATGATTATGGGACACTGGAAACTAGTAAGTACACCTATAATAGCCATGGTTTGTGCTTATATTTGAGTGCTTATTTTTACAGAGGACCTAACCCAAACAAGCACACCAGTTGTTGTTGAGTCAATTCCTCCAGCTCAGGGTGACCCCATGTGCTTCAGAGTAGAAATGTGCTCTGTGGCGTTTTCAGTGGCTGACTTGTTTGCCAGGAGGGCTGGTGAAGGAGCCACGCTGTGTACCGAAAGTCTTGCCTCTCCAGAGGTTCTAATCCACAGGAGAAATATGGGACACTTCTTCCCAGGTGACTTGGAAACCCAACCTAGCATCAGTTATGAGTCAATTCCAACTCAGAGGCAACGTGGGAGTGTACATTTTTTTTTTGTTTTAAGTAGATTGCCAGGGATTATCTCCATGGCACCTTTGTGTGGCCTCAAACCAGTAAGCTTTTGGCTATCAGGGAGTGATTGAATGATGTACACCTCACAGAAGACACAGGAAAGGCTAAGATCAAAGCCGTTATTTCATTTTCTCTGGGTAATTGAAGACTATAAAGAGTATCTGAGGCATCTGGGACTACTTTGGATGCTCAAAGTGTGTACAGGGTAAAAATCAAGACAGAAATTAAGATGTTGGAACATTAAGAAGTCAAAATGTGGACATATGCAATTTGGGTACTGGGGAGTCCATTAGGACACCTTAAGTCTGTGTCAGGCTTCCTCCGGGGAAGGGAGGCAGACTTTGGGTGTCCGGTTAGTGAGACGATTATGTAACCTGCTCCCTCTTTTCTCTTTATTTCCTTTCTTTCTTTTTTTTTTCTTTTCCCCTTGCTTGCCTTAGGGAGCGAGCTCATTATGCTAGTTTGATGAAGGGCTGTAGTAACATTTTAAAGAGGGTTGTAGAAATGCTTATGAAACAGTACTGAACAAATCCACTGGGAAGGAGTGAATGAAATAAAAGAACATGCGGAGAGGGGATAGAAGAGACATTAGAGGAGAGAGTGTGAAAGTCAGTTATTGTTCTGAGCAAGTTTCAGGGCCAGGCGTGGACAACCAGTCCCAACAATCAAATGCAAAGGCTGGACTTCTCATCCATTTCTAGTTTCCTGTGGCTCCGGGTCAGAATGGGTGACTTCTTAGCCAGATCTGGTTAATGGAGGCATTTGGGCCCTTAGAGCCTTAAAGAAATGAACTGTCAATGTTTAAAAATCATGTCATTTCACATAAAAATCAAGATCCCTACCTTCTCTGAAACAATCATATTAACTTCCACATGGGAAGTTAAGGGAATGCTGGTGGTCAAGTGACAAGAAGCTGCACTACAATCCCAAAGGCATGTGTTTCAAGGCTACCAGCTGCTCCATGGGAGAAGGGTGGGCTATCTCCTCCCATGAGAGAAACTGCCCCTGAAAACCCACTGGAGGGTCAGCTATGGGTCAGTTCCGAATCTATGGTACACAATAACAACAACATCAACATGGGTATTGAGTAGAGCTGACCAGAGCCTACTGGGTTTAATTGATATCATTAGCTACGCTAAAACTAGCGTACATGATTGAGAGAGCGGCCCTCGGCCCTGCCTGCGTTCTGTAGGTGATATGTGAGATGTGTGTGCTACGTGTGACTCAGTTCCTAGAAGAGTGGAATGCACATTTTTAAGAAGCTACTTCATCTGACAATTATTTTTATTTCCTTTTGTAAATCACAGTACGAATTTAGAGATTTCAAATACTATTAAAAGAAGGCTCAAGATTCATTATATCAGTCAGAGGCAGAGAAACAAAACACACAGATTCATTGCTTTCTGGTCAATTCTGACCCATATTGATCCAATTTTTGTTGTAAGGTACCCTCCAGTTAGAACTGACTCCTAGCTGACCCTTCGCTGGGTTTTCAGAGACAGTAAATTGCATGGGAGGAGATTGCCCGTCTTTCTCTCATGGAGCAGCTGTTGGATTTGAACGGCTTGCCTTTGAGTTGGAAGTGTGAATCCTTTCCACTAAGCCACCAGAGCTTCCTGTTGACCCTGGAGGACGGTGCTTCTCCACAGGTCTTCCAAGGCTGCTCTCTTTAAGAAAGCAGACAGTGAGACCATCTCTTGTGGAGTCATTGATGGAACTGTTGACCTTTTGTTAGACAGGAGACTGACTGCTTAGACATCTGGCTCCAGTTGAAAGAAGACAGGAATTCAAAAGAGTTCCTTGAAAACAACGCATCTTGCTAATTAGTGAGTCATAGTATACATTGGTTGCCATGCACCCAAATGGAATTAATGGAAACATATTTTTTTTAAAAAAATATAGATTGGCATCTCTCCACAAGTATGAAATAGAAAATATCATGGCTTATAGATATATAGTCAATAGTTATAGACAGGAAGATATACCGAATCATTCATAATGTGAACTAATAACATTATTTGTTCAGTTATAAAAGCTTTGAAAACCATGAGAGAGTCAAGTTTGAGAAACACAGCTTCTGCATTACTGTTACTCATCATTCTGCAGGTGAGACGCAGGTGCCTTCATCTTTTTTGGAACCCAAGTTGACATATAAGCTTATAAAGAAATAAGCGCAAACATAAGGCTACTTTATCTTTGGGGAGAAAATTGCCTACTTGATGAAAAAAAGAGGTATAAAAACTTAAGACCTTGTGGAATTCGACACCAGAAAGTCTGCTCAAGTTGACGTGGCGGTTGAGAGGAGGACATTCCAGTGAGGGCAAAACACTTTAGGAAGTCTTCAGGAAGGAAATTGAGCTGGAGTGAAAGTGCTTTCAATTTTAAGTTTAATTCTTCATTAAATTGGAATGACTCAGTACACAATTACAATCATGTGGATGACCTCATGAGGTGGTGTTTGGCTCAGTTAACCAAAAGAACCATCGTTTCCTTTATCAATCTGTCTTCTTCTTGTCCAACTCATGTGGGTGAAATTCAAGCTCGTCAGGGATTTTCTAATCTCCAAGTCTAGGACACACAAGCAGAAAAATTCCATGTGGCCCTGGCATAGGCCCAGTGGAGAAAAAATGAGATTGGTATAAATATCATGTTTTCTTTTGTTCATTGCACGGGCCAGGGGAGCTAAACTAATTGCTAATGGTTTGGATTCAATGATTGACTTGGTTTCTAAGTTGCCTCAAAGAGTTCTTTAGATTTGTGCAAAAGTCAGGTTTAAATTTAAATTCTAAGCAAGAAATCTCAAGTGGAAATAGTAGGATTAAATCTCAGAATGGTTTTATTCTTAAATAAACAAAGAATAACTGATCAGCCACCAAGTAAACAAAAACTGCCTCTTTACTATTTTATGTATGGATGTAACAAAATCAGAGCTTTCTCGGATGATCTGCCCATGACTTTATCCAAGTTATTTCAAATTCTAAAATATATATTTACGGGACTCTGGTAGGTTAGTGGTAAGGAACTGTGCTGCAATCTCAAAAGCGCAAGGTTTGAATCCACCAGCTGCTCCCTGGGAGAAAGATGGGCAGTTTTACTCTCCTGCAAATGGAAACCCCCCTGGAAGATCAACTATGGGTTGTTTCCAAGTCACTAGCATATAACAACAGCAACAAAATATATTTGGTTACTTAAAAGACGTATTTCACAGTTACCTAAATATGTGATGCCAGTCTCTCCTTGTTAATGATGTGACTTGTGCTCAATTGAGTCTGAGATGGAAATGATCTTGCTCTTCAAACATAACAATTCTTTGTCAAACACACACAGCCTTTCTTGAAGGTCTTCTCTTAGACTTGCTCCATTATTTCTCCAGAGCCATGTGTGTTAAGAACAGTTACAACAAAATTCTTCACTCTGTTTGTTCCATTAGCCTGAATAAAGTTTGACCTAGGGTTTTGGACATAAAAGAATCTTTGGGACCACTGTTTGTAAAAAAATGTTGGAGTAGAACACAGAATTGTCTTTGATATCTGTGCTAAATAGCGAAGTCATTGCTAAGAAGTTTTTCATGGACTTTAAGGTGAGATTCAGGTACACAGGTGAACTTTTGGAAATGGTGAAGTGAAGGTAGGAATTATACCAACAATCAAAGCATTGGGCATTTGTAATTTGCTTGGTGATTATAAAAACATGTCAGCCTAACGTGACTGCCTCCCTGCTCATATTCTTATCAGTTGATTAGGCAGTTAGAAAGAGTCAGTGTTCCATTGCAAACAAAAACAAGAAACTTAATCTCCTTCTAAAAACAATGATGATAATAATAATTACGGTCCTGGGTCTCAGAGAATGTTCTAGACTGTGCTGCATTGGATTTCTCAGAGCTGGATTTCTCAGAAGCTCTCTGTTCTTGTTTCCACAGGATGTGTGAGACTGGTGAAGGGCTGTTTATCTTTCAAACCCGGGATGGGGAGGCCATCTATCAGAAAGTCCATTCAGCCGCCTTGGCGATAGCGGAGCAGCACGAACGCTTGCTGCAGAGCGTGAAGAATTCAATGGTATGTTCAGAAGGTCTTCCCTATGATCCGATTCAAACCTCGGCCGAATGCAACCAGGGCCGTGTAGATGCTGACAAAAAGAAAGTAGCATCCGCGTCTGTCTGAGCACATGATTTCTTTACAGAAGGGTGTCTGGTGTGGGGTAAATGCCATTCTTGGGCTGTCTGAAGTGGCCAATTGCTATCACTGTCACCATTTAGCCTTGATTATCTGCTTTGTGATGTGTTTACTGATCGTGTTTATCTCTGTTAACATTGACTTAGACATAGGTAGATTTCCACAGTCACAGTTAAAGTGCATTATCTACATGTTAATGTAGGTTATTTATATCAGATGTTAGCATTCTAAATACTAAGAACAATGCTAACAACATCACTTTGTGGACTAAAAAGACCCTGTCTACAGGCTTTCGGCTATCCATGCACTTAAAGTCTGCTTGACAGACCTCTACCATCATCGATGCATAAGGATGCTACGAACAGATACACATGCAAGGCCGTAGGCTCTTTTCTTCTGAATGTCTACACTTTGTTCATGGTATTGTATTGGATCTGTGTGTGGCACAAGCAGCTATGATTCCTGAGTTTTATGTTTAAGGTAAGCAAATTCATGAAATTGTAAATTAAAGTACAACCATTGAGTAATGCCAGTTATGCACTATGGGTACAAACACATGCACCAGACTGAACCTCTGAGAGGAAATATACAGAATCCAAAGGAACTGGACCAGCATGGGAAGAGTTGGGCTGCTGGAAACTGTATTATTGCAATGTGTAGGCTGGTTGGATTTAAGGAGGAAAGCCATCGCAATGACACGACCTATTCAAGGCAGCCCCAGAGTGATCCCAAATGGCTTGTGCACACTATACTTCAGGAGTTTAAAACAGAGGACAGTAAGATTTCCTCTGTAAATAGACAATACATATTTTAGCCTTTAAGAGTGAATACCATCTTTGTCACAGTTACCCTTTTATTACAATAAAAAACAACCATAGATAATGGGTAATCAAATAAGCACGGCTTTGTGCCTATAAAACTTTATTGATGGACATTCAGATTCACACAGTTTCACATGTCATGAAATTGAATTCTTCTTTTTTATTTTTATTCAGGCATTTGAAAATGTAAAATCTGGTTTTTCACTCTCATGGTTTGTACTGACAGAGCTTGTGTCTGGATCATAGGCTGTAGTTGGCCAGCCTGTCTTTGAAAGCAGCAAGTGTTCTGTGGGCACTGTCATGACCCAGGCATTCTTGAGAAAGTTAGGCTGGGCTTGCCAACAATTTTTGGAGCTGGCAATGGTGGACATGCCCTAGAGGCTTGGCATGGATCAGGGGTAGACACAGTCATGAAACAGCAATATAATTTATCCTTAAGTCTCCTTCCTGCCCATGGACCTGGCTCCAACACCAACTCTGCACCCTCTAGCTTGGTGAAGGAGGCAAATTATCATGTAGCTTTCTTTTGCTCTTTTGTAAAATGGGCAAGATGATAGCATCCATTTTAAAGTCTTCTTGTGAGGTTCACATAAGAAATCCACACAGGGCATTCAGTTATGTGCCCATGTACTGAGTTTCAGCCAATGGTAATCATGATTTCTATTTTTGTTATGAATAGCTGTGCTATCATTAGTATTGCTATTACTAGCCAGGGAGTCTCAGTGTGGCTAGATCCCAGTGAGGATGAAACGGAGGAAGCTGGCCAGATGGTATTGTTGTCGTTCTTGATTGCTGTCAAGTCAAGTGCGACTCATAATGATTCTATGAACAAAAGACCTAATGCCTTTCTATAACTATCATTGTTTCTCCAAGTTCATAGTTTCCAGAGGCATGTGATTTAGGAAGTGGATGCCACTCCTGCTGCCAAACCTGTTTTACAACTGGGAGCTCCACCAAACACTGTGGGAAACCATTATGGTATTTGATACCCCAATGGCACAAGGTTCAGCCTTACAGCAAACCCAGGTTACTTCATACAGCACATTGACAAAGGGTGATTTACAAAGTGAAAGAATGTTCCTCCACATATAACAACATAGTCTCATTTAGCAGTGGTTAAGTGCTGTCATGTTCAATAAGACTCATACTGACCTTTACACAAAAGACCTGAACTCTGTTCTATAACTAACATAATTTCTGTACATTTCTAGGATTTATATAGTTTCTAGAGACATCTAGTTTAGGAAGTGGATGCCTCTCCTGCTTCCTAACCTGAATCAATCTAGAAGCTCATCCAAATAGATGGGTAACCATTATGGTATTTGACATGACGATGGCATGGTGTTCAGCATCACAGCAACTCCAAGTTATTCAGTACAGCAAATAGACAAACGATTGCTGTGTCACTTGAAGAACATTAATTCTAAAATGAATAGGTTTTAAAGGCACAGCTGTTAGGAGGCCTCCACCCTTGGTCAAAGGTTCCAGGAACATCTGTTTTTGGAGGGAGGGAAATTAGCTAGAGCTATTTCAGTCTTTTCTGTCTGCTCTCTCTCTCTCTCTCTC